ATAAATGTGTGGTTAAGCCACTAACTAAATACACATTTATTTAAGTGCATTTGTTTTTTTTTGCTTTAACTTTAAAGATTGCTTTTTAAATTTTGATTTGATTTAGTTTTATAATTTTGTATAACAATCACATGGTTTCACCATCAAATCCACTCATTCAGAGAAGTCTGACACACATTCTTATCCTTCTCAACCTATTCTCTTAGTCATTTTATAATCTTTGGCTTATCCTTCCATTAAAAAAATATAAGCAGATATATCTCTTTAGATATAAGCCAGCATACTTGACCTAACATACTTGACTACACTAAAGCGTTTGACTGTGTGGATCACAACAAACTGGAAAATTCTTAAAGAGATGGGAATACCAGACCACCTTACCTGTCTCCTGAGAAACCTGTATGCAGGACAAGAAGCAACAGTTAGAACTGGACATGGAACAACAGACTGGTTCAAAATTGAGTATGTCAATGTCAAGGATGTATATTGTCATCCTGCTTTATTTAACTTCTGTGCAGAGTACATCATGCGAAATGCCAGGTTGGATGACTCATAAACTGGAACCAAGATTGCCTGGAGAAATATCAACAACCTCAGATACGCAGATGGTACCACTCTAATAGCAAAAAGTGAAGAGGAACTAAAGAACTTCTTGAGGAGGGTGAAAGAAGAGAGTGAGAAGGCTGGCTTGAGATGCAACATTCAAAAAACAAAGATCACGGCATCTGTTCCCATCACTTCATGGCAAATAGATGGGGAAAACGTGGAAATAGTGCCAGATTTTCTTTTCTTGGACTCCAAAATCACTGCAGATAGTGGCTGCAGCCATGAAATCAAAAGACACTTGCTCCTTGGAAGAAAGGCTGTGACCAACCTAGATAGCATATTAAAAAAAGCAGAGACATCAGTTTGTCAACAAAGGTCCACATAGTCAAAAACTATGATTTTTCCAGTAATCATGTAGGGATGTGAGAGTTGGACCGTAAAGAAAGCTGAGCACCGAAGGATTGATGCTTTCAAATTGTGGTGCTAGAAGAGACTATGAGAGTCCCTTGGACTGCAAAGAGATCAAACCAGTCAATCCTAAAGTTAAACCCTGAATATGCACTGGAATGACATTAGATTGATACTGAGCCACCAAGAAAACCCCTGGTCACTTCTTTGAGTCTCATATTTTTATGTGACTCCTGTATGTATGAAATTAAAATTGTTTTTCTCCTTTTGTTTAATGTCATTTTAATTATTGGGACCGCCCAAAAGCCTACAAAGGAAGAAGGGAAAATTTTTCTGCCCCTTCAACTACATGGGTGGATATTTCAGTCTGCTATTGAGGGATTTTTAACTTATTTCTCATTAACTTTTAGTTCTCCAGTTAATAACTTTGTGGGAACAGTGACAGACTTTATTTTGGGGGGCTCCAAGACCACCTAAGATGGTGAATGCAGCCATAAAATTAAAAGACACTTGCTCCTTGGAAGAAAAATTATGACAAACCTAGACAGTGTATTAAAAAGCAGAGACATTACTTTGCTGACAAAAGTCCATCTAGTCAAAGCTATGGTTTTTCCAGTAGTCATGTATGGATGTGAGAGTTGGACCATAAAGAAGCTGAATGCCAAAGAATTGATGCTTTTGGATTGTGGTGTTGCAGAAGACTTTTGAGAGTCCCTTGGGCTTCAAGGAGATCAAACCAGAATTTCCTAAATGAAATCAGTTCTGAATATTCATTAGAAGGACTAGTGCTGAACTGAGGCTCCAATACTTTGGCCCCCTGACATGAAGAGCTGACTCATTAGAAAAAACCCTGATGCTGGGAAAGATGGAAGGCAAGAGGAAAAGGGGATGACAGAGGATGTGATGGTAGGATGGCATCATTGACTCAATGAACATGAGTTTGAGCAAGCTCCAGGAGATAGTGAAGGACAGGGAAGCCTGGCGTGCAGCAGTCCATGGGGTTGCAGAGTTGGACACAATTGAGCAACTGAACAACAGAGTTGTTCTTTTATATTTTTGTTAGTGTATCTTTGAAATAAATTTTAGAAGTAGGATTATAGGATCCAAGGATAAATGCACATGTGATTTTGCTAGATGTTGTCAAATTCCCTTCCCTCAAGGTTTAGGCCATGGAACATCCCCAACAGTGATAAAAGAGGGTGCCTGTTACCTCGAAGCTTCCCTAACAAGAGTTCATTATCAACATATACACTGATGAATGTGTCTATATATACTAAGATATTAAAGAAAAACACTAAAATGACAATCAAAATGAAAATTGTCTGAGTTGCCTAAAATCAGTGGTATGAGTACCACACACTCATAAACACTGCCTTAGCCATTACTTGAAAAATACAGATATTTTGGCCTCTCTGAACCCTGCTTGGTATGCTGAAAACCCCTGTCCAAGTTGCTTTCTTCCTTAGATGTTGCACTAGTACAAGATGTGCTGTCTGAGACATGATAACCCATTCCACCTTGTTTTTGTGTTGATTTATAGGGCTCCAACTTGCAGTATTTAATTTTTTTAGCCTGTTGTATGGTTATGTGCATAATAAAAGATTATCAAATATTTATAATCCTTAAAGATGAACATCTAATTCTCCCCCACGTGAGGTAGTCCATTTTTATACTGTTTGTTGTTTTTCAGTCAGTAAGTTGTGTCTGACTCTTGTGACCCCACAGACTGTAGCCCACCAAGCTCCTCTGTCCATGGGATTTCCCAGGCAAGAGTACTGGAGTGGGTTGCCATTTCCTTCTCCAGGAAGTCTTTGGACCCAGGTCTCCTGCATTGGGAAGCAGGTTCTTTACCACTGAACCTCCAGGGAAGACCCATGTACTACTGGTAGATTAAAAGAATTTTTAATAGACTTGACATGTACACATAGGCACAGTACACATCAATTAAAAAATCATTACTTGAATAATGTGGAGAGAATGCTAGGAACATAAAATCTAAAATATCAGTCATCTTTATATGTATTACTTTGAACTAACTACATTGATTCCAAATTGAGAGACAGCTTTGAGGAAACTCTTGTCCTACCTTATTAAAGAAGGATTTAGGAAATTTGGAGAAACATTATATAAGCTTTCCAAGGAATCTTTTGAGATAAGAATGTTAAGGTTTAAATTCCATTGGTTATTGCCATTCTTGTCACTAGAATGTTCCTTGAGAAGCTAATTTTACCTGGAACATTTAGCATAATACCTGACATACAGTAGGTGCTCATTTAAAGCCTATTTAACTAATGAATGAATCCTTGCCTTTTCCATTCATTGTGATTTATTACCACCAGTAACAGGATCTGTTAGTGAGAACAAGAAAATAGAATATACTGGCTTCATTTTCTTGGGAGACCCATTAAGGAGCAAGTGTTTACTAAACCGTGGGCTTGTCTTTTTTCACTGTTTATGTTCAATTTTTGAACTGCATGAATTTTATCCATTGTTTATCATTTACTCAGTACTGAACTTTAGTTCTCATCAGAATGCAGAAACTCTCAAGGATTATATTGAGTGTTTCATAAAGAACTATTTCACTGCAGTACCTGAAAGCCCAAAAATTTCTTCTCTCCTAGAGTTAATAGCAGAGAATGTTTGCCAAATGTTTTTTAAAAATATGATCATTTTAGAAAATATTTCCAAGCTTTCCATTCCTAAAATGAAAAAACCTAGTTGGTTATCATTCTATCTACACAATTTCATATCTTATTATTTTCACCTAATACATATTTTCCCACAACATAAAAATTTTTGAAAGAACATTCAATTCAAAGTGAGTAAAACTATGTCAGAGGACCCTGTGTACAAATTCAGAGCATCAGAAAGAGTGTTGGTAGCTCTCCCCCATACATATACGATTGAAAGTATAAAATGCCTCAAGAGTATGATGTAAAAATTTTGTTTAAAAATAGAAATTATTAAAAATGAAAAAATAAAATAAAAAATATTCTGGTTTCACTTTTGTTAAATGTAATCTTTTGAAGATAATTCACCTTGATAATAGTCTGACAAAGTTTAATGCTAACTAAATATTTTTTAAGGATTCAAAGAAAATAAGTATTTTTGATTAAAGAGATCAATAATGATGGTTCTAGAGCTGGAAAGTGTAAAGTGTTCCATGAAGTACCTCAGCCTCTATGCCTGAGTGTCAGACTGTGTTGGGACTTACATTTCTGAACTATTCGGGGATTTATTAAAAGATTCAGAGCATGGAAAATGATGAAAATAAAGCCAAAAATAAAAATGGTATTTTTCAAGCGGTCTGTTGTTATGCCTCTTGGAGGGATGGGAAAATATGGAAAGATTTCCCTGACTTTTTGTGGGACAGAACAAACACTAACTGGTTGATGAGTGTAAGTACCGAAATGACCTTCGGACACCCTTAGGTTTGGCCAGTAAATAGGGGTATAAACAGGTGGGTCACAAATCTAACGAACGACCTTCACCAGCACAATTTACTTCTTCCTTCTGGATCAGAGGGTGTCTCCTTCCCCAAAATTCGACCTCTAGCTCTGTAAGACAAGTTACTGACTTCACAGCCTCCTAGGTATCGGCGTGACAGTCTCATCCTTCAGTCTGGGAAGAAAAAGAAATACCCCGCCACCCCCAGCCTCAGCCATACTTTGAGGTACCTGGGAACCCCCTGGATGTGAAGCAAGGGCCTCAGAAATAAAGCCCAACTGCCAGGGACTGCAGTAGGCAAAAAAGGAGAGAAAGTTTAAAGAGGTAGGTAGGAGGACGTTTTAATTCCTCTTCTATTTTTAACTTTGACTTGCAGGGCTTACATAGGAAAATTCTATAGCCTCTCCAGATTGAGGACCCCGCAGAAAAATCCAGAGAAAGTGACCCACGGTCAACCTTGTACCCCCAGGCCTAACGGGCCACTCCGTCCAGAACGTAATTGGTCAGCTGATTGCGGCCTGGAACGCGAACACGTAGGGTAGGAGAGGCGGGAGATGGGGGCGGGACAACATGGCTGCCTGACGCTGATTGGCTGATGGAGCTCGTCGCCTGGTGCCATTTGCTGTTGGGTCAGCGCACCAGACGCAGTCTGCGTCCTGCACGTGCAGCCGTTTAAGTCGCGTCAGCGCCTGTGAGGACCCCGGGAGAGCAAGCCGCGGAGAGGTGAGTGGGCCGCCGGCTCTTTTCCCAGTACGGGTTTCATCTCAACGCTCTGGGCTTCTTAGTAGTAGCTGGACTTCGGGCCAAGTGAAGAACGGTTGGGGTGGGCAGGGGTTTGAAGCCGCCCTTTGGGGTCTTTCTGCTTCCTGCCGGAGGGTCCGGTAGCACGGTGCGTGTCCGAAGTCTGGGGTTGAGGCCTGCAGGAAAGGCGAAGGAGCATTTTTGACCGCATGGTACTACACCATCCGTGTTCAGAGAAAAAGACTCTCTAAACACGGATGGTTGTAGAACTATTAGTGTATACACCCTCTTTGGCAAAACTAGTTGTTTGTGGGAGATATTTGGGCCACCTAATCACCCCATCCTTCCCTGTCAAACTTCAAGGCCTTGATCCCTGGTCACTTCCCCCCTCCCCCCTCAAAGAGACTAAATAAACCCCACGCGAAATGTCGTACCCAGTTTTGAAGGGAGAAACCTGGAGTAGTATCTGAAAAACTTCCCCTCCCCCTTAATACTCACTAAGACGCATTGGGAACCCTTCAGTGAGAAAATAAATTCTGTCAACAGATTTTGGGAAAAAGCCTGAACTTCACCGGGACATGGTGATTGCTAGAGTGATTAGATAAGTGGTTCAACTAATTTTTAAAGATAAAAAATTTTAAGTCGCTCAGTCGTGTCCGACTCTGCGACGCCATGGACTGTACAGTCCATGGAATTCTTCAGGCCAGAATACTGGAGTGGGTAGCCATTCCCTTCTCCAGGGGATCTTCCCAACCCAGGGATCGAATCTACGTCTCCCGCATTGCAGGCTGATTCTTTACCGTCTGAGCCAAAAGGATGAATATAAACGGTATCTCTCAGTAAGAAACAAAACTTTAATATCCCCTTTTGCAAAAACTTTTGGGGAGGATCAACAGTTAATTGTGTAGTTTGGAGGTACATGTGTGAAATGATGATTTACGCTTTTAAAGGTACAATTCTGATCTCTGATTCTGACTGAGCCTAAATGTGCATGTTTGTATTTTTATAAAAACTGAACTGGAAGCTGCCATGGGAGATGAAGATTGGGACGCAGAAATAATGAACACTCATATGTCTTCCTATGTTCCTGTATTTGAGAAGGTAATAAAATTTAAAGTTTGTAGTTATTGAATGCTACAGATTTTATCAGAGTTGAAAATCTCTGTGGTGAGAAGCATGCTGTGCTTCTCCATGTGATTGTTATTAACTGTATTATAGGGAATGATGAAGCATGCTAAGCCCAATAGAAGAAAACAGTCTGACATAATTTAATAATTAAAACCTAAAATGGGTATAATATTATTAGAAACAATTTAAATCTCAATGATTTAGAACTTCTTGTTGAAAGCAAGCTTGTGTTAATGTGGTTGAATGTCTCTAAGATACAGTTGTATAGAAAATGGAAAAATAAAAATCTTTTTGGGTGGCAGTTTGAATTCTGAAATTTGGTTTTATACAAGCAGGGCTCTCAAGATAAAAACATTAGGTTGGTTCAGATGGTAACATCAGTTTGATCTTCAGATGTACAAATCTGCAGATCTTTTTCCTCAATAGCTTTTGAAGAGTTACACTGAAATTTACATGAGGGGATTATGGAGTGGGTTTTTGGATTTTAGTTTTGACTTTAAGATGGTGAACAGAGTCTACTTTGGAAGACAGTGTATTTAATGGATTGCTTTTACATAAGTTTTATCTACTTGAAAATGTCTCCAAAAGTCAATTTGTTTTCCTCTTAGGATTTCCAGTTTGTATTTATGTTAGTCAATTCTGACACTTTATATTTGAAGTGATGTCTTAATAGAAATTCTTAATTTACCCCAAAACATAAAATTTAATTCTTCGTCTTTCTTGAGTTTGGCCTGTTTGCATATAAACTTTAGATTAAAATACCTAAGATGTTAATCTGAATTTATCGTGTTTCTTGCTTTGGGACTTATTTTAGAAGTAACTTCTTTGTATATTATCTTTTTATAGTCTTCTTTATGTTACAATATCATAAGAATATTGTAAGACCAGAAGAGGAGAAACATTACGTACAGTCTCGCTCACTAGCACAAATGCTCTGTTCAGGTTCTAATGATTGTACATAATAGTAATTTTTGATTTCAGCTTTTTCACTCTTCAGTACTAGCTATTCCATATTACCAAATTCCTAAAAATAATTTCATATGGGTATGTAGTATTTAATGGACTAGAACTTCCAAAGCATAATTGATTTTCTTTTGGTAGAAATTAAAGTGTTATCTTTGCACTGCAGTATTTTCATGAATAGCTACAGTTTATTGTTTACTTTGGGAGTATTTTTTTCAAAAATGGAATTACTTGGTCAAATAATTTTCTGTGGTTCTTTTTTTCCCAGGTTCTTGGTAGATTTGTTGTAATACACAGTTTAACTCATAGGTACAGATATTCTTCCACTTGGACTTGTCTAATTTTTACTTTTTTTTACAATGAGATTTTGTCTTAACTAAGTATTATTCAAATGGTATACTGCACTGTAAAGTGTTGTGCATGGTTATTGCAAAGGGTGTCTGAAATTGAGGATCGTCAACTGTCAGGCTTCCAGATTTACCTTTTGGGAGTCTTTGTGCTATTCAGTAACATACTTTGTTTCTTGATGTTGGTCATACTGATTGAATATTAGTTATGTTGATATTTCTACCTTACAATTCTTAGTACATATCTGTGTGGCGCCAATTTGTAGTAAACTTTTTGCATTTGTCCACAAATTTAACACCTGGTGCTAGGTGTGGTTAGTAATTTGACCTACTTGACTTGTTGACTTGAAGGAACATGATGCATTCAGTGGCTTTGTTTGCTTGTCTTTGTTGAATAAGATGTGTAGAAGCTAAGGATGAACACATGACATTTTTATGTGGGAGAAATCTGAGGTCTTCAGCCTGTTTTCTTTTAAAGGCACCATTTGATTGGTTGTTCTAACTGGACTTCTGTTCCAAGAAGCAACTGGGCTTCCCTTTTGTTCAATTTGTATTGGCTCTGAGATAATCTTGGATTGGTAATAATATCTGATCAGCCTTTTCTTAATTTAAAAAATTGGGAGTATAGTTGATTTACAATGTTGTGTTTCTGCTATACAGCAAAATAGGTCAGTTATACATATACATATATTCATTCTTTTTTATCTTCTACTCTTATATAGGTCTTTACAAAGTATTGAATAGAATTCCCTGTGCTATGCAGGAGGTTCTTATTATGTGATAAGCCTTTTCTGAATGCTTCTAAGGATCCTTCTTTGGAGATTTAGTAGTAACACAGGTTTATATAATTTTGAACTAATAGGTTGCTTTTCTGGTAGTTTTTAGAACCTACTTCAGTGTTCTTGCCTGAAGAGTCCCAGTGATGGGGTCACACAGAGTCCGACACGACTGAAGTGATTTAGCAGTAGCAGCAGCAGTTAGAACTTCCTAATGCTAGTTTTTGAAGTGAGTGTACCATGTGGGGATAGAATAATAAAAAATGTGAGGTTGAGAAATATTTGGTAATCTAGAAGTTAACAGTAGTCCAGAAATGGTTAGGCATTTGCATATTGTGCACACACTTGTTGGGGTGAGAGATGAAATGAATGAGCGTGATGACTGTAACAGGATACTGGGTTTGCTTGCTAGTTGTAATATTTCTTATTAAATGACTGATGAGTCTACACACTCGTCTCTTCTGTCTGATCTTTTTGCTTTTTTTCTGGCGTATTTCAGAAGGCATATATACTTTTGTGATTAAAGTGGAAACTGCTTAAGATAATTAGTCCATCCACAATTATTTTGAAATTTATAACATTTGAAATAATGTTAAGTTTTAAAATTTCTAAATTGGTTCACTTGGATGAGTAAAGAGGTTATAAATGTTTTATAGCTAAGTGTTCTAAAAATAGGTAATGTTAAGACCTAAGACTCATTTAACAAGTTTTTTTGAGCCTTATTAGATGCTGGAGCTAGCGGTAGACATGATAGATAAGGGGCTTGCTGGCATGGATGTTGTATTTTACTGGAGGAGACAGAATAAGCACATTAAAAATCATATACTAATAGTGAAAATTATTAAATAGTAATAGTAATAAAATAATCAGGAAACACTCTGTGTGTGAGGGAGAAGAAGATTGGTATGGGTAGATTTAGATCATGTGGAGAGGAAAATATTCCTTGAGACTGTGACTCATGAGCCGGAGACCTGAAAGAGTCCCAATAACACATGATATGCAGAGATCTGAAGAGTGAACAAACTTAGGGTATCAGGACAACAGAAAGAAGTATAATGTATTAGTTTCCTATAGATGCTGTAACAAATTATCACAAACTAGATGGCTTACAGTAACAGAAAAATTTCTCTTACAGTTCTGGAGGCCAGAAGTTAGAAACCATGGTCTCAGCAGTGTTGTTTTCCTTCAGTAGGCTCTTGGAGAGAATCCATGCTTCTTCCAACTTCTAGTGGTTATAGGCAGCTTTGGCTTGTGGCTGCATCTCTTTCTGTTGTCTTCACTGGGCCTTCTCTGTGTTTGTGTTAATACCCTTGGCCTTTCATAAGGACACTTGTGATGACATTTAGGGCCCACTTAGACACTCCATTGTTCTTGCCTGGAGAATCCCAGGGATGGGGGAGCCTGGTGGGCTGCCGTCTATGGGATCACACAGAATCGGACACGGCTGAAGTGACTTAGCAGCAGCAGCAGCAGCAGATAATCCAGGGTAATCTCCTCATGTCAAAATTCTTAGTTATATTGGCCAGAACTTCTTTTTTTTTTTCAAATAATATGGCACACTTTTCAGAAATTAGGGCTTGATATCATTGAGTGGACGTTATTCAATCTGCTATAGCTGCTGCTGCTGCTAAGTTGCTTCAGTCGTGTCCGACTTTGTGTGATCCCATGGACAGCAGCCCACCAGGCTCCCCTGTCCCTGAGATTCTCCGGGCAAGAATACTGGAGTTTATTGCCATTTCTTTCTCCAGTACATGAAAGTGAAAAGTGAAAGTGAAGTCGCTCAGTTGTGTCTGGCTCCTAGTGACCCCATGGACTGCAGCCTACCAGGCTCCTCCGTCCATGGGATTTTCCAGGCAAGAGTACTGTAGTGGGTTCCATTGCCTTCTCCACTACTATAGCTAGTATAGAGCTATTTCAAATCCTAAGAGATGATGCTGTGAAAGTGCTGCACTCAATATGTCAGCAAATTTGAAAAACTCAGCAGTGACCATAGGACTGGAAAAGGTCAGTTTTCATTTCATTCCCAAAGAAAGGCAATGCCAAAGAATTTTCAAACTACCACACAGTTGCACTCATCTCATGCTCTAGCAGAGTAATGCTCAGAATTCTCAAAGCTAGGCTTCAACATGAACCAAGAACTTCCAGATGTTCAGGCTGGTTTTAGAAAAGGCAGAGGAACCAGAGATCAAATTGCCAACATCCATTGGAGCATAGCAAAAGCAAGAGAATTCCAAAAAAACACTTCCTTCTGCTTTTGACTACGCTAAAGATTTTGACTGTGTGGATCGCTACAAACTGTGTTAAATTCTTAAAGAGATGGGGATACCAGACCACCTGACCTGCCTCCTGAGAAACCTGTATGCAAGGCCAGAAGCAACAGTTAGAACTGGACATGAAACAATGGATTGGTTCCAAATTGGGAAAGGAGTACGACAAGGCTGTATATTGTCACTCTGCTTATATAACTTATATGTAGTACATCATGTGAAATGCCAGGATGAATGTAGCACAAGCTGGAATCGAAATTCCTGGGAGAAATACCGATAACCTCAGATAATGCAGATGATACCAGCCTTATGGCCAAAAGCAAAGAGGAACTAAAGAGCCCCTTGATGAAAGTGAATGAGGAGAGTAAAAAAGGTGGCTTAAAATTCAACATTCAAAAAATGAAGTTCATGGCATCTGGTCTCATCACTTTATGGCAAATAGATAGGGAAACAATGGAAACAGTGAGGGACTATTTTCTTGGGTTCTAGAATCACTGCAGATGGTGACTGCAGCCATGAAATTAAAAGATGCTTGCTCCTTGGAAGAAAAGCTATGACCAACCTAGACAGCATATTAAAAAGTGGAGACATTACTTTGTCAACAAAGGGCCACCTAGACAAAGCTATGGTTTTTTGAATAGTCATATATGGATGTGAGTTGGACCGTAAAGAAGGCTGAGTGCCAAGGATTGATCCTTTTGAACTGAGATGTTGGAGAAGACTCTTGAGAGTTCCTTGGACTGCTAGGAGATCAAACCTGTCAATCCTAAAGTAAATCAGTCCTGAATATTCATTGGAAGAACTGTTACTGAAGCGCCAGTACTTTGGCTACCTGATTCAAAGAGCTGACTCATTAGAAAATACCCTGATGCTTGGAAAGACTGATGGCAGGAGGAGAAGGGGGTGACAGAAGATGAGATGGTTGGATGGCATCATGTGACTCAATGGACATGACTTTGAACAACCTCTGGGAGATGGTAAGGGACAGGGATGCCTGGCGTGCTGCAGTCCATGGGTCGCAAAGAGTCAGACATGACTGAGTGAGCAACAACAAATTTCTAGTATGTCTAAACTATAGTCAGATAAGGCAAGATTTGTAGAAAGTGAAATCTGAGAAGGAAAGAGAAAAGGAAGAGAGGGAGAGGGCCCTCAAGATAGAGGTGGACATATAGTTGATAGAACTAGATGGCCTGGATATGGGGAATGCAAGAGAGAGTGATGCTAAGTTTTTATATTGAAGCAAGTAGATGGATGATGGTGTTCATTACTGAAATGGGAAATATGTGGAAGATGAACCAATTTGGGAGGGAAAAAAATCAAGAATTCTGTATTTGCAGTGTTGAATTTCAGATGCCTAAGGAAAGATTTAAGTAAGGATACTAGTCATTAGTTGTTGCTTAGTAGAGGGATTAGAGCTGTAGGTACAAATCTGGAATTTATCTATTTTAATAGGATTTAAATCTGTGAGAGTGGAGTGGGTAAAGTTGGATTGAATAAAACAGACTTAGAGGGCTCTGCCATGAACTGTGGGGCACTTTGATTTTAAAAGGTACATTAGTTGGGGAGCTGGCAAAGGAAACTGTGGAGGGAGTGGCCATGGGGCAAGAGGAAAACCTGGGAAGGATGTGTTCCTTCCCAGAGAAGGAAGTAGATAGTCTGTTTCAAGTGCTGCTGAGAACTCTGGCAGGATGAAGCTTAAAAGTAGTAATTTTATTACATAATATGCTTACTATAAGCTTTTTCAGTGCACAGGTGAGGATGGAGGCTAGCAAGAGTAGCTTGAAGGAAATACGGAATGTGAGAAAACAGAGGCAGCAAATGTAGCTACATTTTTTTTGCCTATAATGGAGCAGAGAAATGATAGAGTAGCTGGAAGGGAGTATGAAGTTACTTTATTTTTAAGATAATGGGAAATGTTAAGGATTTTATGATGAAAGATGAATTCTATTGAAAAAATTTTTTTTTCAAAATTTGCCTTAGAATGTGTGTGGGATATTAAATTCCATCTTCTGAAGATTGTTTAGTAATAATAATTTTTCAGTTGTTTGGTGTCAGAGTGTTTCATTACTTTTTATCAGTTATATGAAGCTGAATGTTATAATACTTACAAAACTAGCCTCTTTGGGGGCTCTATTCGTCCAGTAGTATTTTGGATACTAGAAAAGAGAAAAAAAGTCTTCAGTGTTTCACTTTAAATCGGGAAAGCTGGATTACTTTTCTTGTTTGTCTTATCGTCTATGGTAATCATAAATTGGAATTTTTTACTATAGCAGTTATCAAAATCCCAAGCCATTTCAAAGATTTTATCATATGTTTTTAGTAAGTTAGAAAAATAATTGAATGTCTTTCGAGCTTTATAAAGGTAGTTTTTAAAGTCAGTGTCTTTTGTGAAAGAAATTTTGGAGCAAAAGTATTACCTGACGATGTTAATACCTACCTTGGTGCATTCCCTCCAGCTTTAAGTTTATTTAAAGAAACTTACTTGGCAAAAATATTGTGATTTTTCAAATTCAGTCAGTTAATTGAAGTGTTATCTGTAAACTTTAGATCACTTTTTGTGCTTAAATTATTGAATTTGATTTTGAGAAATTTCAGAGCTCTGTTCAAAAGTTTTGCCTTTAGTATCAGAAACTTGTTTGAGAGGAAGCAGCCTGTTACATACCTAGATGAATTGAGGAAGGCTTTTTTCCAATAAAACTTTATTTATAAAAACTGGTAGCCCACCCAATTTGGCTTGTGGCTATAGTTTGCTGACCATTGTTTTAAGTGATATATTAGTATGCTATATATACAATTTTAAAGTGAAGGCGTTTTAGAGTAGTAATAAAGGAACATGCAATGACCCAGGAAGTCTTACATTCTTTAATTGTTTTGTTATGGACAAAACCCAGTTGTTAAAACTTTCTAGTATTTGTGAGATAGATTACTCATTTTTATTATTCAAAGTAGAAAACTAGTCTTTTCTTTTTTCTTACAGGATAGGTATTCTTCTGGAGCAAATGGAGACACTTTTAATAGGACTCCGGCTTCATCATCAGGTATGTGTTAAGGCTTTTTAGGTTAAGGGCTTCATCCACTGGATGAGAAGCAGGCTAATAGATACCTTGTCAAGGATGTCTTTTAAATTTTCTAGTGAGACGTTTTGGCTTGAATATTTTGGGTTGGGAGCCTCTTATAATTAAAAGAAGGGAGGGAAGAGAGAGTGTAGTGTTAGAGTGTGTCTTTCGATTTAGTGGGTTTGCTGTAAAACCTTTGCCCAGCCTCCAAGTTGCATGTTTGGCTTTCAGGCTGCTATGAGAATTGTCAGGATTCCTGATACAAGGCAGTAGGAGAGTAGACTCAGGTGTTGAAGCAGGTTACAATGATGGTGACCTGTCAGGATAGCAACTATTTAAACCAAACTCATATCATATTAATACACATAAATTCCTGGCATTCCTATACACTAACAATGAGAAAATAGATATAGGAATTAAGGAAACAACCCTATTCACCATTATGTCAAAAAGAATAAAATACCTAGGAATAAATTTGTCTCAAGAAACAAGAGACCTATATTTAGAAAACTGTAAAACACTGATGAAAGAAATCAAAAGATGACACAAATAGATGGAGAAATATACCATGTTCATGGGTTGGAAGGATCAACATAGTGAAAATGATATAGTACACAAAGCAATCGATAGATTCAGTGCAATCCCTATCAAGCTACCAATAACATTTTTCACAGAACTATAACAAATAATTCCACAATTTGTATGGAAACACAAAAAACCTCGAATAGCCAAAGCACCTTGAGAACGAAGAATGGAACTGGGGGAATCAACCTGCCTGACTTCAGACTATACTATAAAGCTACAGTCATCAAGACAGTATGGTTCTGGCACAAAAACAGAAATATAGATCAATGGAACAAGATAGAAAGCCCGGAGATAAATCCATGCACCTATGAACACCTTATCTTTGGCAAAGGAGGCAAAAATATGCAACAGAGAAAAGACAATCTCATTAACAGGTGGTGCTGGGAAAACTGGTCAACCACCTGTAAAAGAATGAAACTAGAACACTTTTTAACACCATACACAGAAATAAACTCAAAATAAATTAAAGATCTAAATGTAAAACCAGAAACTATAAAACTCCTAGAGGAAAACATAGGCAGAACACTCTCTGACATAAATCACAACAGGATCCTCTGATGCACCTCCCAGAGTAATAGAAATAAAAGCAAAAAAACAAATGGGACCTAATTAAACTAAAAAGCTTTTGCACAATGAAGGAAACTATAAGCAAGTTGAAAAGACAGCTTTCAGAATGGGAGAAAATAATAGCAAACAAAGCAACTGACAATCTCAAAAATACACAAGCAGCTCATGCAGCTCAATACGAGAAAAATAAACAACCCAGTCAAAAAATGGGCCAAAGAACTAAACAGACATTTCTTCAAAGAAGACGTACAGATGGCTAACAAACACATGAAAAGGTGCTCAACATCACTTATCATCAGAGAAATGCAAATCAAAACCACAATGAGGCACCATCTCACGCTGGTTAGAATGGCTGCTATCAGAAAGTCTACAAACAATAAATGCTAGAGAAGGTGTGAAGAAAAGGGAACCCTCTTACCCTGTTGGTGAGAATGCAAACTAGTACAGCCACAATGGCGAATGGTGTGGAGATTCCTTAAAAAACTGGAAATAGAATTGCCATATGACCTAGCAGTCCCACTGCTGGGCACACACACTGAGGAAACCAGAATTGAAAGAGACATGTGTACCCCAGTGTTCATTGCAGCACTGTTTACAGTAGCTAGGACATGGAAGCAACCTAGATGTCTGTCTGCAGATGAGTGGATAATAAAGTTGTGTTACATATACATAATGGAGTATTACTCAGCTATAAAAAGAACATATCTGAGTTAGTTTTAATGAGGTGGATGAAACTGGAACCTATTATACATAGTGAGGTAAGTCAGAAGGAAAAACACCAATAACAGTATATTAGCGCATATATATGGTGGAATTTAGAAAGATGGTAACAGTGACCCTCTATGCAAGACGGCAGAGACACAGATATAAAGTACAGGCTTTTGGACTCTGTGGGAGAAGGCGAAGATGGGATGATTTTAGAGAATAGCATTGAAACATGTATATTACCATACATGAAATAGATGACCAGTCCAAGTTCGATGCTTGAAACAGGGCACTCAAAACTGGTGCACTGGGACAATCCAGAGGGATGGGATGGGGAGGTAGGTGGGAGGACAGTTTGGAACAGCCTTGTTCCAAACAAGGAACACCTGTGGCTGTACACGGGTGTACAGCTGTGTACACCCGTGGCTGATTCATGTCAATGTATGGCAAAACCCACCACAATATTGTAATTAATCTCCAATTAAATAAAAAAGTAAAATATTAAATTAAAAAAAAGATAATATGAGCTTCTTTGGGATCTGAAAACTAACTTAGGGAGGTCCTTGGCAAATAAGAGAAACAAATCAAGATAAGGGAGCTCTTGTTTTCCCCCATCACTTGTCTCCATCTTGTTCGCCGACATTTTTTATAAAGTTGAGAAGATAGGTGGAAGTGGTAGGACTTGGGCTAGAAAATTAATCTCATGACAGTAGTCTTTGATTTTGTTGAAGTTCACAGCAGGCTAATATGCTACTTCTAGTATTTTTTCAATTAAAAAAATACATATAACAAAATTTACTGTATTAACCATTTTTAAATGTACTATGCAGTGATATTAAGTACCTTCATGTTGCTGTGCAACCATGATCACTGTCTACGTCTGAAACTTTTTCACCTTCCCAAACTGAAATTTCATGCCCGTTAAACAGTAACTCAACAATCCCACCTCTTCTCAGCTCTTGGCAACCATTGTTTACTTTCTATGAATTTAAGTTACTATGAATTTTCTATGAGTCTCTGTGACCTTGAGTAACTACTTCTTTTAAGTCTTACTCTAATGCAAGAGAGGGGCTTTCTTGGTGGCTCAGTGGTACAGAATCCACCTGCCAATGCAGGAGATGTGTGTTCGATCCCAGTCAGGAAAATCCTCTGGAGAAGGAAATGGCAACCCACTCCAGAATTCTTGTCAGGGGAATCCCATGGACAGAGGAGCCTGGTGGGCTACACAGCCCGTGGAGTTGCAAAAGAGTCGGACACAACTTTGTGACTAAAACAACTACTAATGCAAGAGAGAGGGCCTGGTGACACCAGGTAGTTTCATTTCGCTCATCAAAAATTTGTGAATGAAGTATTTTGTGAATGAACATTTTATAGTTAGGGGAGCTACTGGCTCACTGAAGCCTGTCCTAATGTGAAAATACCTGTGGAGAGGTAGTTTATAAAATGTGAAGAGGGGTTGAGAGAGTTCATCAGGTTACAGCAAATTTAATTCCCATGTTCACCTTAAGTTCAGAGTAATCCCCTTGATAGAAGGAAGTCAAGTTTAGAAGAAATACTTTTGTTACTGTCAAGATACACTTATCTTTTGTAAACTTTTAAATGCAGCAGTTTAATATAGAATATCCTGATTCTCAAAAGTTTATGAAATTTCTGCCTGCTGAAACCCCAGCAAAAGGCTAATAACCATGTGTTTGTGTATGTACTTGAAGTATTCAAAGAAGAAAATTAGGTGAAAGTATTCTATACCTAACATATCTATATGCATAGATCATTGTGTAATCAAAAGAAACCATCTTCTGTGAGGTGTCAAAGGTAACTTTCATAAAGGAATGAAAGTTTGAATCTATAGTATATTAAGGTGTAACATTACTTTGTAGTGAAGTCATCAGTAAGCTAGATTGAAATGGCCACCAGCTAAAAATGTGGACTTTTCTTGGCATTAGATCTTGAGTGTTCAGACTAATGAAGTAAAATCAATAACGAAAAATATAGCCTGCCTGTTTACCTTCTGAATAACAAGTACTTTGGTATCTCTTTTTTAATTGATTTTTTTCATCTCATTTTAATTGATTTTTTTAAATTGATTTTTTTCATGAAAACAGATTTTCTTATTACAGAAATACATGCCAGGGCAATGAATGCGATCCTAAGTTACTATCTAAATACTCTTATTGCAAAAAACCAAAAAAATTTAAAAACTTAAATATAGTGGTGAAAAGAGAAAATAATCTGAAATCTTGACTCCCAGGTTTAACCACTTTTGTTAAACTCTGTTTTGTTTAAGTCTGTTGACTCTGATAGTTTAGATTTCTTTCTTTTAAAAAAAAAGCATATTATTTGTCTGAGTCTGCTCTGTTGCAGCGTGTGAGCTTCTCTCTAGTTGAGGCGTGTCAGCTCAGTACCTTAGTTGTCCTGAGGCATGTGGGATCTTAGTTCTCCAACCAGGAATTGAACCTGTGTCCCTTCCATTGGAAGGCAGATTCTTTTTTAATTAATTTATTTATTTTAATTGGAATCTAATTACAATATTGTGGTGGTTTTTGCCACACAAAATATCAGACTACCAGGTTTATCTGTATTGCCAATTGTTGTAGTTAATTTATAATTATACTCTGTTGTGTGAATATACCATATGTTTAATACTTTGTAATACAGTACAGAACACAATATGTAAAACTCTTGTGTGACTGTACCACATATTTGAATTCTTTTTTTAATGCATATTTGAGTTGCTTCCTTTGTTGTTGTTACAAGCAAAGCAACCATGAACATCTCTTATTTTCCCTTGTTTGCTAAATATATGTTTTAGGTCATGAATGGTGTTGAACTGTATTATGTACTTTAATCTGTGGAGATAATTAGTTTTTTAATCTGTTAATGATAATTACCTTTTTAGATGTTCTGATGTTAAACACCCTTGCATACTGGAATAAACTCAACTTGGTCATACTGTTCTACCAGTTCAGTTTACTATTGGGATTGATTTGCTAATATGTATTTTTGAGATTTTATATCCACTCATGAGTGAAAGAGGTTTATAATTTTCTTCTGTCTTGTCATATCATAATTACTATGGCCTTGTGGAATGAATTTGGGGGATAATTCCTCTTTCTGTTTTCTGGTAG